ACACCCAAATGCACACACACAGGCACATACACATATATGCACACACACACACACACCACATACACACTCACACACCACACACATGCACACACACACACACATACACAGACACATACACATGCATGCACACACATGCATGCACACACAATGCACATGCACACACACATCACACTTGTGCATACACACACACAGACACACACATACACGTGCATGCACACACATGCACATGCACATACACACCACACACATGCACACACACATACATACCTCTTAGGTTGAGAAAAGTAAAGTCTGTGATGTTAAACTCTGACGACGACAGTTACATCATGACCCTGTGACAAGCTCACATACCTATGACTCGAAGCTCCATGGAAACTTCTTGGGAGGTGAAGCCATCTGTAAACTGACAGTGGTACAGGCCATCGTCAGAGGCCTGGACCTTCTGTATCTTCAGAGCCACACTTCCAGTGTCGATGGCATCTCTCACCATCTGGGTCCTGCCCTGGTACTCGGGCATCTGCATCTCTCTCTGCTCCTGTCCATTGTGGAACACCAGCACAGCAGGGGTGAGCTGGGCACGGTACCATCGGATGTGCATGTGAGCTGCACTCTGTTCAGGAGACAGCTGGCAGGGCAGGATGGCATCAGTTCCCAGCAGGACTGTGATGGTCTCAGCTGGTCCCTTCACAGAAAACCAAGACGCTCCTGGGGACCAGAGACATATTGTGGAAGCAAGTTAGAGACATGAGACTTAAAACAAACAAACAACCAACCCTGCACTTTCATAGGTAGGAAACTAAACATATTTTTCCTTTGTATTACTTTAGGAAAAGTATTAAATTTTAACAGATAAAAATTTAATAGTTATATAGAAGTGTATAAATTTCTCAGTCTCTCTCTGTGTATATGTGTATGTGTTTGTGTATGTGTGTATGATGTATATGTATATATGTATGTGTTCTTGGGACTTTTACAACATCAATGCTTGTTCTGAAATATTAGCTTCTTCAGCATTTAGAATTAACTCAAATACGCAGCCTGTTTATTGTACAGTTTAGGACATGGACGTTTTTCAAATATGTCAACATAGCCAAGATCACAAAAGCAGCAGTAGCAGCAGCAGCAGGAGGGAGAGAGGGAGGGAGGGAAGGAGGGAGGGATGGATGGAGGTAGGGAGGTAGGGAGACAGGGAGGGAGGGAGGGCAGGGACAGCTGTGCTGGGGAACTCTGTGTGAATTTAGAGTTGGTGGCCCTGGCCATGGTACCCTAGGGAGAGTCATGCTCTGGGATTGGAGTGTCACAGTGGCCATTGCTAGAGTGGAGATAGGCTCTTTCCAGTTCTGCATTGCTTCCAATCGTGAGATGTCTTTGTGACGTGTTCTCATCTACCTAACACCGGGTGTCAGCATATACACATGTCAGCAGCTCAGAAAGTCGGTTTCACTATTTCACAGTGCAGTGGGGAGTCATGGTTTCACATGAATGTGATAGTCATGCAGCGGTTTGGGCAATGAGTAACATAGCACTTCACGTTATTACTAGAAACAATACTGCAATAAACTTCACACAATGCATACACTCAGATACACACATGTTTAGGTACATACATACATACATTCATACACATACACACAGATACAAAAAAATTTTACACAAAAATTTACAAAATTTTGAATCAGTATTCATGGACATTAACATTTTTGATACTAGGGCTAGGGTGTGTTTTATGGTAGACCAGTTGTCTAGCATGTACAGTGCCCTGTGTTTCATCTGAGTTTTTATATTTGCCCCTATGCCATTCACATGGTCTCCTTTCTGAGTTTTCTCCAGAGTCTGAGAACTTTATCTAAAAGGTGCTTTTGTTTTATGAAAGAAGAGATAGCGTCCCAGAGGGAATAAATGATTTATTTAAAGTCACAACCTAAGAATTCTTAATCCAAACTCTTTGTTCTCCTGTGCACACAGAAACCCCAATGCACACCTTCCTGGCCACACATCCTTGAACCATGAGCTAGCCTCTCCACCTTTAAACTTCCTGACATGGAGCCAGCCACAGTATCGAGAAAACTCACACACACTGTGAACATACAAAGGGTATTTCAACACACAGACACTGTAGCATTTACAGGCCAAACTCACCCACACTCAGTGAAGATTTAGGTAGGTATCACAGTTCTGAGTTTTATAAAAATTACCCAAAGGATCAGGGAGGATATTTTCTTGGCCAGTAGATGGCCATGTGATTGCATTTACACAAGAGAAGTCATTCAACACAAGACAGTAAATACAGCACAGAAGGTAGGACACTGACCTCCGGAGACTCCCGTAGACACCAGGAGGAGCAGAGGGAGGAGACAACTAGCCAGAGGGAAGGCAGGGGAGCCCTTCATCTTCAGAGTGGAAGGTCAAGTCCAGATTCACCATAGGAAGGCAACAGGTGAAAGTTCTCAGGAAAAAAAATTCCCTGTTCAAAGACTTAATGTTATTCACACGTTTCTAACTGTGTCTTCCACACAACCCTTAAGATAAAAACGACCAACTCTACCCCTGCCCAGGGTCTTCCATGTCCTCTCTTTATTCTGAAGGCCAACAGTTTCCCTGGGGATGTGGGAAGCTGCTAAGTTCCCATTTTCTCTTGCCTTTCTGTGAGTTCATGGTCTCAAGGGGTATCGTAGAGCTGGATTCTCTGAGTCCAGCGTAGGACAGTGAAGCCACACAAGGAAGTAGTCCACTCCCACACTCAGTCTATCTTCATTCTTCTTAATTACTTATCCATTCTTTTATCTGTTCATTTACTTACCTTTTTCCCAATAAAGGGACCGTTTCTCACTATATCCTCATAGCTTCAATCCTTCTTTGGGCCATGTCTCCCTCAAAAACCATAGACCCTCACTCACCGTCTGGACAGAGATGTGGGTTCCTTGGAAGCCCCAGGGATTCTCAGTGCACTCCCAAACCCTGGCTCTGGAGACCATCCACACCTGGGTTACTGTGGTCACTGGGGCCAGAGTGTCCAATTTCCGTAGATGTTCTCGGTGGCAAGGAGGACACACAGGGCTGCCCCCGGCTCTGGCTTCAGAGTTTCTCCTGGAGGAGTCTAGGAGGAGGCTGCGGCCATCTTCAGCTCTTACTTTAAGGCTGGAAGTAATCAAAGCCCAAAGGACTTTGCACTGGGCTGAGCTACAGACAGATAGGAACTTGAAGGTCTGTTTAAGATACTTCTCACCTTAATCTGCTTCCTGAGGGGCCAGGGAGAGGCGCTCTGGTCTTGTGGTCATATCTGAGGGTCACATCTACAGTTAACCAAAGAGTAAAGCCAAGAATGCTTCTACCCTTTTGGCTATGATTGACTTCTGGCCATATGTGTAGAGTCTCGGTCATATGATGAGTTCATGAACAACCTGAACTAGACAGGACCATGTCTTAAACAAAACAGCAGCAAAATGGGGGCTCTTTCATCTCTTAATAGGCTTGCATTTTAAAAAAATATATTTCATGTGTATGGGTGTTTTGTCCTCATAGATATCTATGCATCACTTGTGTGCAGTATCCATGGAGACCAGAAGGGGGCATCAGAACCCCTAGAAGGAAAGTCACAGGCAGGTGTGAGCTGCATTATGGGTGCTGGAAACCAAACCCTGGTCCTCTACAAGGGCAGCCAGTGCCCCTAACCACTGAGCCATCTCTCCAACCCCCACTTCCCCCATTTTGCATCTTCATGCTCTACTGTATATTGTCACCCCTTCGCAACTGCTGAAAGTCACATGGTCTTAGTGACTATCTTCCCTGGAGCTAAGTTACAGACAGTTGTGGGCTTCCTGATGTGGGGGAGCTGGGAACTTAAACTGAGGCTAACCACTGAGCCATCCCTCCAGCCAAATCATGATTTTCTTGACTCTTGTAAGTTTTTTTTCCCCTATCACTGTGAACAAGAAAATAATTGTTCTGGAATTCACACTTTACGTCTCCTTGCTCATGGACAAAGGAGGGAGATGGTGAGAGGTCAAATCTTTTAAGTTCAGACTCCATTTTAGAAAACCAGATGTAAGTTTGAACTCAGGTAAACTAACAGGCTGATACCTAGCATTAGTTTCCAAGTTGTCCCCCAACAGAACCCAAGCCTAGCTCCAGTCTCTTAGGCTAACCCCCAACAAGACCAGCATCTCCAGGTTACACCCTCAACAAGACCAGTGTCTCCAGGCTATTCTCCCAAGAAACCTGCACCCCCAGGTTACAAACTCACCCCCTGCCTAATGATCACCAATGCAGAGGGGAGCAGAAGTTAAGTTTATGATATGACTCCCTACAGCAGCCAGTTATGCTAAAGGCCACAGTAGCGGTCCAATTAGATGCTTGCACACATACTCCTTGCTTGCTGCTTACTATAAAGCCTTGCTCCAACAGATATTTGGGGCTGCCCCACCACCAAAACCATCCTGTGTGATGGTGGTATGTTGGGGAGGGGGACCTGAGCTAGCTGGAATAAAGACCCTATTGTCAGTTGCATCAGATTGGCCCCCTGTATGGTTTTTTTTATTATTATTATCAAACGCTTCCTTGGTACTACAATGGAAGGGCCCAGCTGACACTGTTCATGCTGTGTGTATCCCATCTGGATGAGGCAGATTTAATCAATGTCCAAGGAGGATATTTCTAGGCCTGAATGAGAATCAGAAAGTTGAACCATGGCCCTGTCTATTCAATTCTTTCTTTAGTGAATAGGAGAACTAACCACGAGATGACACAGTATCTAAGCATCAGATACATTGTGATAGAACTTACAAGCACTTGGCTAAATGGATGGACTATAGGCACCCTTGTTTCCCAGATGTTAATTTATATAATCTCAAAAAATTAAGGACATGGGTTACCATCCACCACACTGTCAGATGAAGAAATGGAGGCACCAAGGAATCCTGTAGCTCACCCCAAAGCAACAGTATCAGAAGATTAACCCAAACTGTAGCCATGTAACCATTCTATTGTCTGCACTGAAGCTCTCTTTTCTAATCCTATTTTGTCTTCAGTTTTGAGACCATCTGAAGGATGGAGAGGGCTGACTCCTCGAGTTTCTTGGGAGGAGCTGTCTTGCCTCCAGTTTCCTGAATCCCTTAAATGTCCACCCAGTCTTTCTGGACTCTCAGCCCCCTGAAGCATCTGGAGCAAGACTCACAGGAGAGCCATGCAGGCGTCCAGGAGGAGGCAGGCTGGGAGGCAAGGCAGGGTGATCCCATCCAGCTCCCTCTCTAAGGTGGTGATAGGTTCTAAGAAACCTTCCTCTCTCTAAGAATTTAGACAGTGTGAGTTTTGCATGATGTTCTCCTGGATGATGGGCAAGAAGGAAGGAGTGTGGGAGGGGCACCGCATGAATCTCAAGGGTGGGTGGAGGACAGGCAGCCCTTTGTCAGCCCTTTGTCATACTGGAAGGAATTCAAGGAGGCTGAGCCATGCCTGGAAATGCCATTTCTGTCTCCATTTGCCTCCCTTCTCTCTTTCTTTCTCTCAGTCAGTGAGATAACATGTTCTTCCAAGGAGAGTTTAGAGAGACTTTGGGCAGACTAATGACCTCAGAAGATGGCTGTCAGGTTAGAGCTGTTTCTGGAGAAGGGAAGCGAAAGGTCTTTGTGTGAATGACCAAGATCCCTGGTGTTCTTTTGGGAAAGACACCGCAGTTGTCTGAGAGTCACAGGAGACCATTTTTTGTATCACCACCATGAGCCCTTTAGCCATGGTCCTCTAACCTTGACAATCTCCTTGTCATTGACCCAGGTGTTTGCAGCCCTCCCTCTGGACTACACTGTTTCCCACCCTAGGAGAGATGGCAAATTCCTGCTGAGAGACTTCTTCTCTACTCCTTCCACTTCCATGGGGCTCAGGCCAAAACCTACTACATTTGTAGCCCCATCCTCTGTTTTCTGCCTAGGAGGATTAAGCCACATGGTGAGTTTGCAAATATACCTTGGTTAATCCCAAATCCTCATCTAATAAAATGATTTATTTGCACACCAGGGGAAAACAAAAGCTTCACAAGGAATGTGTTTTCATGGTATTCCAGCCCTCTCCTCACCACCTTCCAAAAGTACACCACCATTGTAAACAAGAAATCATTTGCTTTATATGAGACTAGCCTGTCTGCTGTAAAAACCCATGACCTATTACCCTGTGCAAACACTGTAAAATTCTGTGATAATCAAATTTCCCAAGGGCTCTGCTGGGACAACTATGATGTAATCTGAAGGTGCCAGGTAGGGCATCCAGACATATTTTCTACTCTGGATTTATCCCACAGATTCCTCGGTAGTGAATTGCCCCTGGAGTCACTTTTTGGGCCATGGTGAGTGAGGACAGCATGCTCTCCTGCTGTGTGGACCCCATCACTAGTGTGAGGGACACAGAGGCAAGATGGTAATCTCAGAGGCTGTGTGGGTGTGTCAGGATGGGTTGGAACAGCCAGGAGGGAAGCCTGGAAACTTCAAAGGGAGAGCAGAATTAGTGAAGGGTTACACGTCTGAGGGGAGAGCAACTGTTTCTTAAGGGAAGATAACTCTGAGGAAGCCACTGTGGAGCTAAGGTGATAAGCCAGTAGCTGATCATGAACAACATTTCAGAGGAGAGGTAAGCATCCTGCTGGGCTTTGGAGGGATGGCTGTGCACCTGTGTTCTAGTTTGCTTTCTATGGCTATGATGAAATATGAGCAAGAACCAAAAACCAAAAACCAAAAAAAAAAAAACCCAAAAAAACCAAAAAACAAAACAGAAAAAGAAAAACACCAAAACAAAAACAAAAACAAAAACAAAACAAAACAAAAAACCCCCTCAAAACCAAAAAACTTGGAGAGGAAGGATTTATTTTACCACTCAGGTTACAGGATGTCTGAAGACAAACTCAAGGCAGGAACACAAGGAATGGGGGGGGGGGGGATGGCTGCTGACTGGCTTGCTCCCATGGCTTACTCAGCCAGCTTTTTTATACAACCCAGGCCCACATGCCTAGGGATGGCATCGCCCACAGTGGTCTGGGCCCTCCCATGTCAATCATTAATCAAGGAAATGCTACATGCTACATAGACTGACTACAGGAAATCTGATGGAGACAGATGCCTTGTTTTGTTTGTCCCAAACGGTCTTAACATACTGATGCATTGATTATGCTGTACTTTGAACGAGAACCAGCTTTTTGTTTTGTTTTATTTTGTTTTTTTCGAGACAGGGTTTCTCTGTGTATCTCTGGCTGTCCTGGACCTTACTCTGTAGACCAGGCTGGCCTCGAACTCAGAAATCCACCAGCCTCTGCCCACTGAATGCTGAGATTAATGGCATGCACCACCACCTGGCCCAGAGTTTTTGAAGGTCTTTACTTCAACGCATCCTCTAAAGACAAACAAGCTGTTTTCCCTATGACTGTGCTCCTCTCATCTGAGGTCAGCTTCATCTCCATGTGATGCATTTCAGTTGTTGGCTGTCCTGGAACAAGCTGGCCTCAAACTCACAGAGATCTGCCAAATTAAAGGTTGGTACCAACACACCCAGTCCTTCACTGAAAAAAGAAAAACATTTTTTTTAAATGAAAAAGGGGTGGGAAAACCATTTTGTTTTACAAGCATACTGATGACATAGACTAGCAAAATACTTTAAATGTAAGAAAGGACAGAGGATTATTTTAAGGGAAAAATGTAGACTAGCACAATGTATTTGCAATGCCTTCAAATTCTAAACATGCCTGTAGCATCTAAGAATCAAAAGAAAGAGTACACGATTTATATGGTAAGGCCATCTTTCTTTTGAAAATAATGTCTCTAATTATTTGAGATTTTCATATGATTATTTTGGTCATACTCACTCCCCTCCTGTAACTTCTCCCAGGTCTACCCCATGCCCCCCCCTTCTCACGCAACATCTCTCTCTTTCCTAGACCCAACTGCTCTTGAGTGGGGCCTGCCCTGCAGTATATATAAACCAGGGATCACACTGTTAAAGGACACTGATTCTCCTCCCAGCAGCTATCAACTGCCAATCCTCAGCTAGGGGTGGGACTTTGTGCCCATCCTCCTCCATGATGTTTACTATCCCCCCCTTTTTTCTTTTTACTGAATATTTATTTAACAGGAAGAGACCAATCTGTTGGGTAGTGAAGGAGT